CAATTTATGGGAAACACAAGAAACTATTTTTGATTATATGACCATTTTTCAGCCAGTGTGACAGTGAATTCAGAGGTTTAATAAACATACAATAAAACTGACAATAGTGAAGTCTGATGCAGTGGAACTCCATTTGTAGTGAAACAGAATGAAAGTCCTGACTAGTTTCAGCACACTGTGATATGCAAAATATGTTTCTTCTTATTGTGAAATTGTTCTGTGAAAAAATAAAAAAATCATTTCAAGAGGGTAACACTGTACTTCCACTGATACTGTATCGGGTCAGTAATTCAATTGGACTAGATACCAAAACTGTGGTACATCTGGTGGCTTGACAGTTCATATTCTTTTATCAATGACAGATCAAGTGTACAAAATGCTGAGTCGATGTAATCACCGGGATCTTATTACTGTTACTGCCTAGCATAATTCTCCTCTCTCACTGGCCTAAAGTAAGATTTTTTTGGGGGGTGGGGGGAGAGAGAGAGAGAAACATGCATGTAAAATACCATTATCATCATGGTTAAGGTTGAACAAGTTGATTTTTGTACCTAATCTGGTATAGTTTTAAGGCTATTTTATTAGTGTTTGTTACTTGTCACACAACCAAAATATTAGGAGAAGCAGCTACAGTGTCTACTCAAAGTATCTGATTTTTTTCTTTAAAAAATACCAAATGGCCCTGGACTACACTAAATCAAAGTGCCCACACAATTTCACTGTTAAGATTTTATTTATTTATTTTGTATCTTATGGGTCATATAAAGTGACTTAAGATTTTTTTTTAACCCTTGTCTGTTTTACTGCTTTAGGCCTAGGAAATGGCTTATCCAATTTAAACGATTTATTTTTTTGTTTTAGAAAATAAATCTCCATCCAAGCTGACAATACAAATGCCAAGTTTCAGCTGGAAGGGAATTAAAACAGCCCAGTTCTCTACATCCTCTAAAAAAAAAACAGTAATCCACACAAGATACAACCAATTCCCTCTCAAGCATAGCCGTGCTAGAGAAGGGGGCTATACTCTATGCAGTTTTTGGCTTGAGCCTTAAAAACGCTGATGGTAGGATTACCACTATAGTGAAAGGGTGCAGGGTCAAAACTCGATAAACTGAACTTTTGCCAACAGAAACATTTATCTTGCCACAAAAGAACCGCTTTGATGAATCTGCTCTTATATTGACATCCTTCTTTGGCACTTCTGAATAGAAAAGAACTGAACTTGTAGGAAACCTTTCCTTTCAAGAAGCGCACAGCTCGTTTTAGGTGAGGAAAGAAAAACATGAGAAAGACAATGGAAACAGGAAAAAGAAACAGGCCAGCAGTTGCTATGTGAAATAATACCACAATGGCTGTGTGCCCTTTCCTTCTTGGCCCCAGAATTCCAACATTTCAAATGGACAATTATTAGCAGGCATTAACTCTGTGTGGATGAGTCAGGGAAAACATCAGACAGTTGCAACTGAGGCCTATTTTTGACCTCTTCAGTTAATTATGATTCTGGGTAATCAAGCTTGGATATGCTTGATACTTCTTATTGGAAACACCTATTGTTTGATAATCGCATTTAATAAAACACTACCTCATCTATCAAGGATATGAGTGGAAATTCATTAACGAAAACCAGAAAAAAACCCTAATTAATGCAGTGGGAACTACCACTTGCATTCACTGAACATTGGTACAGTGTTTTGGGCTTAAAGGAAGTAATTTTTAAACAGTAAGATGATTCACCGATTTTAAAATCCAGGTGCAACAGTACAATGAATTAATCAGTTCCTTTTGAATGCCCCTCAAATTTTGGAAAGTAGCTAAAGTCAACAAGTCAAGCAGACTCATCACACAGTCTTCAGGAACTAATTTATAAGCCTATGCTTTGAGTGTGCATACGGCAATATACATCTGACTAGCTTTATACTGCCATAAAATGTAAATACTCTGGCTGCATCTACTTTAAAGGAGCTAAAAGAAAAGAAAATGATTTTCTGCAGGTTGCATTTGTAAAGTTTACACTTTTGTTAATATCTAGCTGAATTCAACTTTTCTATTTGAAAGCACTACAGCATAGGAACAAGTGGTGTGCCCAGTGCTTATAGCATTCATCTTTCACCTTTAGTACCTAGGCCATTTCTGTTATACGTATTGGGGTGGCCTCACACTATCTTCTAATATTCCAATTTTCAACCCATCCACTTCACAGAAAACTACCAACCAGAGAAATCAAGCCACACTGTTATGTGGAGTTCTGGTTAAAAGCAAAAAAAACCCCTGGGCTACTATAGTCCAAAATAAAGTCCATGCAGCAGGCCATATGATTACAAATATTCAACATGGAGAAGTAATTTGTCTGGTCATTGGAAATAAGCCAGATAAGTCGTCTTCCCTCCCCTTTGAACAGCAGATCATTGTGTGCTGATCCTGCACAAAGCCGGATGTCTACCTGAACTACAAAGATACTGAGATGGCTGAAAGCCCCTAAGAAAGTGAATGAATCTGGTTATACTGCAAGAGCATGTATCTTGTCTGAAATTTTGGGGAACAGAAAGAAGCTGTGCCCAATTAGGAATCCAGTTCATAATTCATCTGCAAACCAACTACCTACTTGTCTGTTTTACCTTCAGTATTAGCAATGGGCTTTATCCAACCATTACAAAGCAACACAGGAATGGATCTGTACCTACATACTGTGACGTTTTGTACCTCGAGGGAACACCCTGCACCCTCATATTCATCCTTATAATATCATTGTGTGGTATCCAATGCAAAGTTTGTCATGTTGGGTGTCTTCGGAAGACTCATGATGCACTGAGCATTGTTCTTATAGTGATGTTATAGTAATTGTTGTTACAGTAATGTTATAGGCTATAATTTCATGTATATACTTATGAGGCTGAAAATGTGTCCTCATGGCAAAAACTCCCCAAGAGCAGAGGGGCAGTTCACACTTCATCAGGGCATGTATGGGACAAACCCAGCCCAGCTCACAGGAACAAAGGACACTAGCCTAGGCAACAACAAAGGATCTGTTGGACTCTCGACTCACCCCCTTCCTTTGGTCAGTTTGAAACTGTGATGGGGTAATGTTCACCTGACTCTTAGGAGTGGAGGGGGCAAAGCCAAGAGTGAAGAAAGGACATGATAAAAGGGAGAGACGTTTGCCATGGTCTTCCTCTCTCTTCCACTTCATTCTAAAGACATCACCACCAAGCGACTAAAGCACTGATCAAAGGGGAAAGCCTGGCTGAAGGGCAACCAGCCAGCCTGTGGTGAGAAGCATCTAAGTTTGTAAGGGCATTGAAAGTGTTAAGGTCAGCTTAGAATACATTTTAGCTTTTATTTCATTTGAACAAATCCGACTTGTTATGCTTTGACTTATAATCACTTAAAAATCTATCTTTGTAGTTAATAAATCTGTTTGTTTATTCTACCTGAAGCAGTGCGTTTGGTTTGAAGCATGTCAGAGACTCCCCTTGGGATAACAAGCCTGGTACATATCTATTTCTTTGTTAAATTGACGAACTCATATAAGCTTGCAGTGTCCAGCAGGCATAACTGGACACTGCAAGACGGAGGTTCCTAGGGCTGTGTCTGGGACCAGAGATATTGGCTAGTGTCATTCAGTTGCACACTCCAAGGACAGTTTACATGCCAGAGGCTGTGCATAAACAGCCCAGGAGTGGGGGTTCTCACAGCAGAGCAGGGTAAGGCTGGCTCCCAGAGTCAAGTATTGGAGTGATCTAGCAGATATCCGGTCCGGATAACAACAGAGGGGAACGTCACACATACTCTTTTCCCTTCCAGGAATGGGCACACTTGAAAAGCCCCCTAGAACTGCTTGCTTTTCAGTTTTGTTAAGCATTCCGACATGCTTACTTTCAGCACACACACATTTATGCATTACACAGATATGCACAAAATACATAGAAACCAAGGACATTTTAGGAGGAAGGTACTGATCTTCTCCTTCAGATCTTACTGAAATAAAACAGAATTTATACAACACAACCCACTGGATGCTTGGAAAAAGTGAGAATGGTGAGTATGCTTGCTTCTGGTCTAATAGTCTGAACTGTAAGAAGGAAACTCAGACGTAAATTTATCCTGCAAAGATAGCCATCTCTCTCTTTTCTCCTGATGTTCATGAAATCATTTCAGAAGAAAATGTCTTTCTTATTTGTCTTCTAATTGCGTTTACTGAAACTATATTGGACATGATCAAGATACACCTGGTTTGTGGTAGGTTTGTGACTGACTTCTTACAAAAAAAAAAAATCCAACCCGAAGCATTTAGTGTATATTTATAAAATTTATTTAGATGCAAGCCAAACACATGAGCCCACTCCGTCTCCAGTTCTCCTTTACCCACTTTAACATAGCAGCTGAATTTGTCTTCCCTAAGCCATATTATGAGTGTGAACTACCATCAAGGCTTTCATTCAGCCAAGGAGGATATACCAGTTTCATTCTGACATCCTGTCTCCAAAAAGCTGACGGTGGTATGTTTGAGTTTCCATGGGAATTCAGTGACTCTTTGGCTACTGCATATGGGCAATGTGAACTCCACTGTGCAACCATACTATAAACATCTTGCCTTCCTGCTAAGAGCTATGAGCATAGCATTACTGCTTGGAAACTAGAATATGTTCTCTGAGCTCTACACAGTGCTTAATTAGTGCCAGGGCTGAGCCCCGGCACCTCTGGGCTTGGCAGTTCACAGCCCCGGCACCTCTGGGCTTGGCAGTTCACAGCCCCGGCACCTCTGGACTTGCTGCACCAGATAGGAACGCTGGCTACACACATAATGTTAACAAACTCATTACATCCACTGACACTTGAAGCCACTGCTGGCATAATTGACCCTCTCTTCTCAAATGTAGAGACTGCTTTAAAAAAAGCACACACCCATGTGTGCATGGACAGATATAGCTATTATCACTATATCTAACGAGATAGAGAGAGATGGACAAAACAGAGAGGATAAAAGAACAGATATTTCTTACCATGTGCCACCCAGCCATGTTTACAATGATCACAGGTTCTCAGGTTAATCTTCCCTGGCTGGAAACATTCACATGTGCAATTTACCAGTGTACAGCGGATGGCCTGGGAAAAGAAACAAATGCACATAAATATCTTACCAGATACTTTTTTTTGTTCTTTAAATATCTGCCCATATGGTGGCTGGGGGTTTTGAACATAAAAAAAAGAAAAGGAAAAGAAATTCTAAAATGCAAAGCACTGTTATTTCTTTTATGTAGGGTTTATTTTTCCTTAAAATGCATATATCAATATCCCTGACCAATTATAAAAAAGTCCATTCAATAATAATGTATTCTATTATTCCATAGTCTGAATAAATTCTTAAATTCTTTAAAACAATACAGACCAAGAACTCAATTTTTTTCCAATCAAGTGCCTGAAGGAAAATGTTATTATAGTTATGTCTTCACATAGCACTATGTCACACTGGTTATAATCAAGAGTGAAACATGCACATAAAAATATACACAAAGGCAGAGCAAAGATCTCTTTTTTTCTACACCGTCCAAGCGTTGTTTTCATGTTTCCCTGTTGGGATTCACACAAGATCTAATTCAGTTAAGTATCAGAAGGAAGCCACTGGTCTGGGAACTGGTGTTCCCAAAGCAGCAGTAAAATGAGAGAGGTACAGATAGGACTGGCTCATGAGATACAGCACAACTTTCCTTTGCATCCATAATTTCTCTCCGATCTCCACACATAACACTAACTTTTAGTCCCATATAGTTATTAAAATATAAATGTTTTCCAAAAAGTGACAAAGAGTCCTGTGGCACGTTATAGACTAACAGATGTATTGGAGCATAAGCTTTCGTGGTCCAATACGTCAGTTAGTCTATAAGGTGCCACAGGACTCTTTGTCACTTTTTACAGATCCAGACTAACACGGCTACCCCTCTGATACTTGACACAAATGTTTTCCACTTTTTCTTAAAAGGAAATCTACTAAAAACACAGACTGAATATTGAGATTTAAAATCTGGACAATGAATACATCTAACTAAACCCATTCTTAAAACTACAGTACTTTAAAAAGCTAAGCAAGTTTACTTTATGGGGTGGGGGGGGAGAGGGTCCACAGAAAGTCAGCATAAATGTGGTGAGACCTGTGTTTCTAAACAGTGCTAAAGATGACCTGTGCTCTTCAAACTGCTACCAGTAAATTTATGGCTTGCATTTAGGTGTAATTTGCATGGAGGTTTGTGAGACAGAGGGGACTTAGTCTGATCATTCACAGATTAACAATCTACTGTAACTATCAGTACTTCCAGGAAAATATCTCTCTACTGATTTAGATGCAATCAATGATTACTTGGGGGTTCAGTGGGGGAAGGGAGTTTGGTACCTATGACTGCAGATACTTGGGAGCTTTATGAATGCTGTTGCCTTACAAACCTCTCCTAGACTCTTCCACTTAAAAATCTGCAATACCTGTAAGTAACAGAAATTATCTTCTCTTTACTGAAAGCATCAGATTTGTAAGGAAAACAACATTAAACATTAGCATGGGCAAGCTAAACTCTTTGTCTGCTGACAATGAAAAGAGTTCAAGCTATTTTAAACATTTTATTTATTTATTTGCATCAGACACAGCAACTTCAAGCCATTTGTGGTTTACTGACTCACTCAATCTGTATTTCTCTGCTCGATTTCTGATGCAGGAGTCCTTCCTCCCTTCCATCTAGTCTGCTCTTTTACTACCTTTGACTCTCAAAAGCCCTGATGGAATAAAATATCCAGATATTTCAGGGACTTATTCCCAAAGTCAACTGCCTTTACTCATTAGCTAGGTTGTAAAACATTGCTGTATGTATCATTGATTAAAATCATTAGTAATATGAAATATAAGGGCACAAAAGAACTGCTGACTATGCAGAATAATATATGTGTTTGTGGGTTACAAGGAAAAAAATTCTACTGAAAGGTCCCGTTTCATGTTCAATAGTTTATTGACTCAGTAATATATCAGGTCTCCTCTGGTCAGTAATGGTGTCTTTCTCTAATATGTTCATTAATTAATGAACTCCGTAATTAATTGTACTGCAAAGAGAATGAAGGCATTGCAAAATGGAATGGTATTCCTGTTATACTGTAAAAGATTTTTTTCCTTATAAACAAATGCCTTATTTCACTTATTTTTAAAAACTTTTTTTTACACTAATCTGTTGTAGATTTGTTGCATTTCATGTTACTGCTACGCGCATGCACACGCACACACACACCATCTGAAATAATGTCATTTGCTATTAAAAGTTGACTAGAATTTCCATTATGTTTTCCCTACCTATGTCCCCCCCACCCTCCGCCCAAGATCTGTAGGTTGCCTGTAAAAATTGGAATCAGGCTGAAACTTGAAATACAGTACGTTTCAGCCCAAGAATGACTTTTCTCTCATCCCTTTGAAAATGTTCCACTTAGCCATTTTAAAATGATGAGCTGAAAAAATGTTTACCAGCTTAGAGTTTCTTTTCCTCTTCTGTGACTAAAAAATAGCTTCAATCGTGTTGAGAATATTGCTCTACTTAATTGACTATGTGTTTCCTATGTTAAGAACTTATAACAGCAAAATGACATAATATTTGAAAATTCAAGTAAACTTTCCACAAACATAAAAATGTCTCTTTTTAAAATAGCTAAATCAGAAAACCTTACATAAGTGGTAAGTACTTTTTATTAAGGTATGTAATCAGGCCCAGATATTTAGCCCAGCCTTAACTGGGCCTATCTTTTTGCTCCACAGGAACCTTGATACTTTAGGCCATATTCTGGCTTCAGAGATGCAGGTACACAACTATAAATTTTAATGTGAACCATGCGGCATTTCTGAAAGATAAAGATGATGGCCTGGTGTTTGGGGGCCCGGGAGTCTGGTCAGCAGTGCAGCGGGGCTAAGGCAGGCTCCTTACTTGCCGTGGCTCTGTGCGGCTCCCGGAAGCAGTGGCATGTCCCCCCTCCAGCTCCTATGCGTAGGGGCAGCCAGGGGGCTCTGCACGCTGCCCCCGCCCCAAGCGCCAGTTCTGCAGCTTCCATTGGCCAGGAACTGAAGCCAATGGGAGCTGCGGGGGTGACGCCTGCAGATGGGGCACCATGCAGAGCCACCTGGCTGTGCCTCTGCGTAGGAGCCAGAGGGCGGACATGCCGCTGCTTCCTGGAGCTGCTTGAGGTAAGCACCACCTGGAGCCTGCACCCCAACCCCTTGCCCCTGATCCCCCTCCTGCCTTCCGAACCCCTCAGCCCTAGCCAGAAGCCCCCTCCTGCACCTCAAACCCCTCATCTCCAGTCCCACCCCAGAGCCCGCACCCTCAGCTGGAGCCCTCACTCCTCCCACACCCCAAACCCCTGCCCCAGCCCGCTCCTACATCCCAAATCCCTCATCTCTGGCCCCATACCAGAGCCCACACCCCCAGCTAGAGCCCACACCCCCAGCTAGATCCCTCACTCCCCCGCACCCCAACCCCCTGCCCTATCCCAGAGCCCCCTCCCACACCCTGAACCCCTCATTTCTGGTCGTACCCCGGAACCCATATCTCTAACCCGGAGCCCGTATCCCCTCCCGCACCCCAACCTCCTGCCTCAGCCCAGAGCACCCTCCTACACCCCAAATCCCTCATCTCCAGCCCCATCCCAGAGTCTGCACCCCAGCTGGAACCCTCAACCCCCCCACACACACTCCAAACCCTTGCCCCTGATGCCCCTCCTGCCTTCCGAACCCCTCAGCCCCAGCCCAGAGCCCCCTCCTACACCCCAAATCCTTCATCCCTGGCCCCACCCCAGAGGCCTCACCCCCTTCCACATCCCAACCCACTGCCTCAGCCCGGAGCCCCCTCCCACGCCCTGAGCTCCTCATTTCTGGCCCCACCCTGGAGCCCACACCCGCAGCCGGAACCCTCCCACACCCCAACCCCCCAAGCTAGGCAGGTGAAAATGAGTGAGGGTGGGGAGAGCGAGCGACAGAGGAAGGGGGGATGGAGTGAGAGGGGGCAGGGCCTCGGAGGAGGGGCGGGGTAGGGGGCGGGGCAAGGGTGTTCGGTTTTGTGCGAGTAGCAAGTTAGCAACCCTACTCCGTGCCTAAATTCCCCATCTGCAAAGTGGGAGTAACAACAGAGAGGTGTTGTGAGAATTAAAAGAACAAAGGTTGTGAGGTGCTCAGATGCTATGGTAATAGAAGCCATATAAGAACCTAAAACTATGGTCTTTAGTAAACAACACTTTTTTAAAAAGACAGTTTTAAGATTTGTTTAACATTTCTTTAATTAATCCAAAGCTAATGTAGTCCATGATGCCATCTACCTCAGGTCACTGAAGTGCCCAATACATAACTAATTTAACTGGGAGTCTTTTGGTGGGATAAGCCAGGAGAATGGTATATCCTTATGCCAATGCGCGAGGAGATATCCCTGTAACTTCCTTCAAATTAAAATTGACACACATACTCATTCTTGTCTGAAAATGCCTTTTAACATCCTGTGCTCTTTTTTTATCGTATTTGCTTTAAATGAATCCCTATCAGTTACAGTGAGTAACTATAGATTTGGAAAATGACCTAGAGAGCTGCATTTGGAAACTCTTCTTGAGATGCACACAGTCAATCAATGGAGGGGACGGACTTACAAGTAGCAAGGGGAAGAAGGGTTTGTGTTTAACGAATAGTGTGTTTGTAAGTGATGGTGCAGATTTGGCAAAAGCGTAGTAGGACATTTGTTAGTTCTTTATTTTCACACTGAAGGGGGGAGGGGAGATAGTGAAAGGGGCCTGATGTGATTCTGTAGCAGCTGAATACTGTATTCACTGTTGAGCCATCTGAATGACAAAGCAGACCCAAAAATGCAAGTGTACAACCATCCTGTCAGACATTTCAATATGATTTCATTCTAACTGTCAATGCAAAGTATTGCTAAATAGCTTTTATAGCTATGTAATATATTACTATATTATTTCAAAGTGAAATGCAAAACCTATTTCTCTGACTTAGCTTTCCCACAGTAATACCTCCAACAAGGAAATGAAAAGAAAAAGAGAGGAAGAAAAGAAAAGAAAAGAAATCAAAGACCCAACAGACTTGA